TACTAAATGATTATAAATATTGAACGAAAATCTATAAGTTTTTTTAATGGCTTATGATTTTTTGCAGACATTTTATAAAAAATAATTCATTAATCAATAATCAATTATCTTTCTCTCCAATCAAGCCAAACGTCTTAACTTTTAAGAATGCATGTAGCCATCCATTATTTTTAATTAAAATGCAATGTTTTATAAGAATTTTTAAACATATAAAATTGTTCTTATTGAGGAGTAATTGTATTAGAGATTTGATCTCCAACATCATTTAAAGTAACAGTGTATAATCCAATATTTTCTTTATTATTGTGAATGAAATAAATGTGTGGGTCTCCAATATATAGTATTGAATTATTTCCATCAATTTTGTAATCATGAATAACCATACTGTATTGAGAATCATCGATTTAAATAGGTGATTTCCTTAAAGAGAAATGTTCAGATAAAAATGATTTAAATTGATTAAATGTGAGTGTTTCTTAAAATACTTCTTTGGGAGCATTTGAATTAGGTGGGTATCCATTAATTAAAAATAGTTTAGACTCAAATCCCATATAATAAAGAATAAGATAGCCAATATATGGTTCTGCCCAGCCATTAGCTAAATCATGTGGCGCATATAATGCAGTTTAAAGATATTAAGGAACTTGATCAAGTTAGTTGATATGCATATATATTTTATCTAAAATAGTCTTTGAACCAAAGAAACTGAATAACCATCTAAATTCTGGAGTTATGTTATATTGTGAGGATAGCATCATTTATATACTTCTCCAAGCACAACCCCATCCAGCATCATTAATTTGATCACTAAAATAAGGTGTGTATCTCATATTAATTGTTGGAAGAATTTGATTAACATTTTCATTTGGATAAGCAGATATTCTGGGATGGAGGTGAGTTTATCCATAATTAGTTTATTGTCTTAAGGTTTCAATATTAAATATTATCATTAAAAATATCATCTATATTATGATAAATATTAAGTGCGAAGTTATTGAATCAATTTTTCTTTTTCTGAAACCAATAATCTTAGGCTGTCTATTTCAGCATTTTTAAGGACTGTTAATGCTAATAATTCTTGAACTTAATTGTATTGATTTCCAGATTCAGTGTATCGAATATGAAGAGTATCTATTTATTACTACAAGCTTTGATTTAATATTAGTAATTATTCATTTTATCGTTAAAGTTCATTATTTTATATGATTAATTGATTTATTTATAATGGATATCTCTAGGTGTCTTAAGTGGATTATTACTAAGAGTGGTATAGTTCTTATTGTAATTTGATATATTCTGATTTGATGGTTTCAAGTTGATTGTTTACCTATTAATATTTAAGTTTATAATCATCATTCATCTAAGTATCAACTTTCGCCAAACACTGCTTTAATTATTTAATATCATGCTAACTCTAATTAAAGAGATTATTGATTTATTTTAATTCACTTTCTCTCACAACTTCGCATCTACTATGTTTGATTTATAATTCTTCTAATTTACTACATTTATCTTCCAATAACCAATATTAATGCCTGAGTTCATAATATTTATCTTTCCAATTAGTTTGATCATTCTGATAATATACCGGAACTAAATAATTTTATTTATTACCTTCTAAAGTTCTAACAACAACTGGAGATATACTTCTAACAACAGTGACTTACGGTGGTGGAATATTGATGACAGATTGAGTGCACTAATGACGAGGATAACGCGTTTACATATAATTATAATATTAATCATTATTTTTTATTCCTTTAATGTTTACAATAATTCTAAATTTTATTTGTAAATTTAATATTAACAATTTAACAATATTTTTGAGCATCAATCAAGTCATTTATAAACATATTTACTTTTTTGAACTTTACATTATAAACTTTTGGTCCAACAACTATTGCAAAAAGTTAAAATAAAATTTAAGATAAAATAAATTAATTTATTTAACCGTGCGTTGCCAAGAAATTGAAGATAATGTATTTAAATAGTGAATGACCATCTCTTTTCTTCAATAAAATTTATACCATAACTTTTAGATTACATTTTCAATTCAAGATTTAAATGAAATTAAAAATTGTTAATTTTAGTGTTCATCTAAAAACTAATCTCTATTCTCTCATCATATAAGAAATTTCTTAATGAATTGTAAAAATAACTGCTTAAAAATTTGAAAGTAATTAAGATATAAAATAGAGATTTCTCATCAGAAGTGTCAGGAAGTATAATTTTAGACAATAGTATCCATAATTCAGAAGTTATTTCTCTACAATCAACATCAGTTAAAAATATTTTAAACACTCAATTTTTTTGCCCAGATGATTAAGAATTTTACTTATTTATAAATCTATATTCCTTGAAATACTAAGTCCAAATATATCTATATTAAATAAAATACCAGTTTAGCAGAGTTATTTATTTTAACAAATGACACAGACATCAATTTTGTCTATTTAATCCAAGGCAGTATTCATTCATACTTTGAGGAATATTTTAATTGCTTTATATGTACAATCTTTAATTAAATTGATGGGATTTAAAAGAATAAAAATAAAATTTAACAAAAAATATGGCAGAGTTTCAACAACCAGGAATTGTTTAATAACCTGTTTTATTTGGAGCACCTTAAACAGTAACAGGTTAACCTTAATTCGTGAGACCAATAGTTCTTGGAAATTCAACTTATTAACAATAATTAGTAACAAATTAGAATTTGGCTCAAAGTGGATTCTATTAAGGAGGTTAAGCAGTTCTTAATCAACCAATTTTGGGTGCATCAGCAATAAGTTCAAATATAGTGTCAGTAATAAATAATTTTAACATAGACTGGACAAGCAGTTAAAGGAGAATCAAGAATTGAGTATATTCCTTATGAAAAGACAATAATGGAATATGAAGAAGTTAGAAGATAAGTTTAGGTGCCAATAACAAGATAAATAACAGAATATTAAGCTATATAATATGAAACAGAATATATTCCTCAAGTGATCTAAGAAAAAGTGATTGAATATATGCCAGTAGAGAAAGTAGCAGAAAGAGTCTAATATTAAACAGTAACTAGATAAAATGTGTTATAAGTAAATTCTTGTATAAATAAATTAGAATACTGTATAATAAGTTTAATAAACATAATAAATATAATAAACATAAGTTTAACCAATAGTGACAACTTAAACATATTAAACAACTACACCAGTTGTATAAACTGTTTAATAACCAATTGTTACTTAAGTGGCTTAGCCAATCGCCTAATAATAAATAATTTAGAATGTTCCACAAACGTATTATTAAACATATTAATAACCTATTACAACATAATATGTTTAATAACCTTTAGCTCTTCCTGTTTAATAGACAGCTTAAGTTTATCAGACATCAAGTCCAAGAATTAGATAAACATCATAAATTGTATAAGCTTCTGCTCCTATTGCTACAACTTAAGCTTATGTTTAACCACCAGTTGTTTATTAAGCATCTCAAACTAGAGTTGGTGCACCTGTTATTTAAACTTAAGTGTAATAATTACCAGTTGGTTATTAACCATAAACTTAATAATTAGTCACATATTAAGGATAAACTCTACAACAAAATTAATAAAAAATAACTGGTTAAACTGTTCAAACTAATCCAAATAATTAAACTATTCAACCATCTACTAAAACACCTAAAGTTAGTCAGCAACCTTAATAAGTCAGTTAAGTTCCACCTACCTTGGTAATTTATTTATATTAATCATAGCAATAATAACAACAATAATAATAATAGCCTATCACCAATCAATAATAATAAAAGTAAGATAAAGGCTTTTTAGCAAAATTATTCGATTGAAATTATATTAATAGTGCATTATAAAATAAATATAAAATTTTTTAATTCATGGCAAAATCATAAAGATCTAAAGTTATGCGTAGATGGAGATCACTCAAAAGAGAACATCTCCAAAATGTGAAAGTCAATACAGATCTTCATGATTTAAATTAAAAATTAGAGGCTACTATACAAAATGTAAATATGATTGTTTTTATCTATTTTAGAGATTTCAAAGACCTACTCAACCCAAAAATATGTTTCTCCATCCTAATGATCCAACTGCTCAAATACCTAAATTGAAACCATAACCTATTGTTGATTTTCGAAGTTAATCTCTACCATATACTGCCACTTAATATGTTGGTGCAAGAAGAAAACCTATTTAAGAAGTAGTTTTAAAATCAGAACCAGAACTTGAAGAAGAAATTGAAATGAATGATTAACCAATAAATGAATAATAACATGATGAAGCAGATGATTTAATTAATGCAATGGAAGGAGTCAGAGTCAAATCTAAAAGAGAAATTAAAAGAGAAAATAAAGCCAAAGCTATGGAAGAAATCATACCATTAACTAAAAATAAATAAATCAAAAAAAATAGAAGAAAGGAGCAACCAACAAGAAAATCAAAAAAATTAATTACCTTTTGATTCATGTTTATATAAATATATCTATATACAATCAGAACAATATATATTTGATTCTCTATTTTGTTAAATTAATATTGCATATTCAATAAAAATTAAGACTTATCTTAAAACCAAAATAATATTTATCATTAAATTAAACAATCCTAGTCATATACTTTTCCTTATTGTCAGTAAATATTATTTTAAATCGAAAAAATTGCATTAAACCTTCCAACTTCAATTAATTAGAATTTTTTATGACTATTCATTCTTATATTAGTTAAACTTTCTATTTTGTTGACTCAATTTAAAGGTTTTTATTCTAATAAGAAGGTGTTATGAATCAAAATATGCATTTTATGCTTACTTTAATTATTCAAAAAAACATTAAGACTATTAATTATATTTCTTTAATTCTTTTGTTTATCATTACCAGTAAAAAATATTTATAGAAAGATTTTTGTCTTAACTAAATGGTTCGCAGATATGGATAAATTTGGTTTAATATGCATAAATGTTAATTTAGACAAATCTTTAAAAGATGTTTTCCTGAATTAATTTTTTTATTTTACATAATATATGTTTTTTATTTTCAAAATATATGATATTATGAATAAGAATTGAATCGTAAAAATAAATACAAAAGATTTTATCAGATTTCTGATATAATACTTTTAAATTAATTGGAAAAGCAGCATTAATTTGTCCAAAGCATAGAATATTAAATAGGAATAAGATTATGTATTTAAAATTAAACACTTAAGTCAATTTCAAAGATTAGAGAAACTTTAGAATAATAATACAATTAAAAATTCTGATTTTAGTTTGCATTCTTATTTAATGAAATTCTAATTTTCCATAAATTAAAATATAAAATAAATATGAGAATTGAAAAATGTTATTTTTGCTCTGGTCCTATCTATCCAGGCCATGGAATAGTATTTGTTAGAAATGATAGCAAAGTATAAATAATAATAATAATAAATAGATGTTTAGATTTTGCAGATCCAAATGTCATCGACACTTTAAAGCATAACACAATCCAAGAAAAACAAGATGGACTAAAGCTTTTAGAAAAGCTGCTGGAAAAGAGATGACTAATGATAGTATCTTTGAATTTGAACAAAAGAGAAATGAACCGTTGAAATATAATAGAGATTTATACATTAACACAGTTTAAGCCATGAAAAAAATAGATAAAATTAGATTAAAAAGAGAAAATAATTTTTGGAAAAATAGGTATAAATTTAAGTAATATTCTTAGATTAAGAGCATAAAGGAAGTAGAATCTTGATAATGTCGAAACAGAATTAGCAAAGAATATTAATTTAGTATCAGATAAATCAGTTAAAGAAATTATCAAATAAAAAGCTGTAGAAAAAGCTTAAATAAAAGCATAGAAGCAAAAAAAATAAAAAAAGTAAGATATGGTAGTAGAGGAAGCTTGACTTAATTATTTGTGCTTAAATAAATATAATTTCATAATTTATTGGAAGTTTATGGGTTTGCAGTTTAAGGCTTTTTAGTTATTTTATAATGTTTTTACAATTCAATAAATTCTGTTTCCGGTACAAATTCTTTCAATTATCTATTTAATTTAAAAATTTATTCTTACTCTAATAATTAAATTGATGATTATTAATGTATTAATTTTAATTTTGATTATTTATTACTTATTTCTGACTCCATTTTTTATTTAGAAGTCAATAAATAAAAAAGTACTTTCTCTTAATCATTTTTTTATTATTCTAATTTTTTTTAAGCATTTAATGATCTTTCCAATAAGAAATCTTATTAACTAAACTTATTATAAGTAAGTAATAATTACTTATTTTCTTTTTCTTAATTCTAATTTTTATAATTATTCTTTTTAATTTTAGGCATTAGTTTCTCTTAATTATTTAATTTCTTCAAGTTTACTCATTTTAAGTTTTTTAGTATTTTCATCCTTATTTTGCAATTTTTCTTATAGTTTTAATTACCATTGTCTATTCTAAATAATATTATTAAATACTTTTCTTCCTCTTAAACTTATTCTAAATTTTATTAATGTTTTTTAAATTTATCTTTTCTTTCTTTAGACATTTTATTAATTTCTTTTCTTATTAGATCTTCATTCTTTTTTCTTTATTCTTCAATAGAGATCATTTTCTATCCAAAATTATTACACATATCTGATTCCCACATAGCTTTAGATTATTAACTTTTTTCTTATATTCTTATTAATTATTATTCATATCTCCATTATTTATCTTATCTATCTTTAGCTTATCTTTCAACTGATTTAACTCTGTTTTCTTCTGTTTATGTTTCTTTTCTAATATTTTATAATTGAGTTTCAGATTGTTCATGTTTTAATAATGATTTTCTAAATAATATTTTTTCTTCTAATTTTTTATTTCTCTCAATCTTCTCCATTTATATAGTAGATTTAAAAGTTGTTAATTTATTCTCTCTAATATAATTTTGGAAAAGTACATCTGATTCTATTTTTCTTGATAATCCTTTGCTTTTGCTAAATCTTATTCTATTTATTCTTCTTTCATCTTTCTCCTTTTTTCACATTACTTTTTAGCTTTTTTATTTAATTCTTATGCTTTCATTTTTATCTTCATTACTTTAGCTGATCTAATTTATTAATATTTTTCTCTTCTTTCTTATGATATTTATTCCCATTATCTTCTATCTAATTCAAATAACAAAGCTTCTTTCACTTCTGCATTATTTAAACTTAATTATTTTTGTCTTTCTTAATTAATTTTTCCAATTTTATCATCAATTGTTATTGTTTAACAAGGAAAACGACTTGTTGAATGAACACTATTAATTGGAATATGTTCATAACCACGTAATTCATCTTCTTCTTATTATTTTTTTGAAAACCATTATTTAATTTATCTTCTTTATTCTTTCAGTTCCATATAATCATCTAATTATCATTATATTAAATACTTAATAATTACTCTAAATAATTTTCATATTCGAAATCCAAAGAATTCTAATCAAAAGATTTATTATTTCTTTTATTTTTATAATCCAATTCATTTTGCTTTTCAAATTTATTCCTTAAATATGAATAATAATATCATATTACTTTCTTCTAAAATCATATTTTGTTTTATTCATTTTTAGTAATGCCTTCTATGTTCTAGGTGAATCAAAATTTGTGTTAATTTCAAAATCTTATATCTTTGTCATCAGATCCTTTTAAGAACTAAGTTTATGAAATTTAGTTTATGTAAAGAACATAAAATTTAATATTAATTTTCATAATAAAATATTTACTCTCCTTTAATAACTCAATTTAACTTTTTCTAAATACTCCCAAGATTATTGTTTCTTCTATAATGGCAAATTATTATTCTACAAAATATCATTTTATTAAAAATCCATTTATGTTAATGAAGGCAAATATTTTATTAAAGTGATTAAAGCATCATAAGCATGATGATCTAATAAATTATTACTAAGATCAATCTCTTAAATATTTGTTTAGACTAATACTTCACAAAGATCTAAAAAATACTTTGTTGATATCATCATATCTGACATTTTCAATATTTTAAGATTCTATAAATCTAATAATAATATTTTAATATTCTAATTTCTAGGATATGTATTACTAGATATATTTAAATATTCTAATCTTTTACATTCACTCAATAATGTTGACAAAATCTTAAAAGCAGTTTCACTTAATTAAGTTCTTATAAATTCTACTCTTAATAAATTTATTAAAGGAGGTTAAACCATTGACAAATAAAGAATATGTTCATTCATTATCTATTTATTTTTAATTGTAATTGATGATTAATTTTTTATGTTAACAGATATTTCATTATCATTTTTTTAATATTTTCCAGCCTTTTCTCCTCCATAATTAACAGTTACTAAATCTTATGCAATTTAAGGTTTTTTATGTTATTATTAATATTCTTAAAATGTTTTAAAATCAGAACAATTAATGTTACTCCAATATTCTTTCCATGCTTTTTATGTATCTATATTATGTGAATTTAATTTTAATATTCTATCTAATCTACTTTATAACCAAACATGAGAATCTATTGCATCCACTTCATTACTTGAATTAAAAAACTATTTATTTGAACTTGAATTCTATTTAATCTTTTATGAATTTGGACGACTGAAAGTATTATCATCTTTTTAAGAATTATTTCCAATTATTTTTTATTATGGCATTCTAATCTCTTATATTTTAAGTTTTAAATCAGATTTAACATTTAATAACTCCTATTCAAATTATTCTTATCTTTTTGGTAATGGTATTTTCATTCTTAAATATTTCCTTTTTTCAGGATCAATTTCTTAAAATTTATATTCTTTATTTAATTTTTCAGGTGAATTCATTTACTCAAATTCATTAATGTCCATTTTAAAAACATCTTTTATTATATTAGAAATTATTTCTGATGCTTTAACTGTTTCTTTCTCTTCTTTAGCTTATTCAAATTTCTTTGGAATTTAATCTTATCTTTTTTATGTCTTACGATCTAATCTTCTATTTGGTAATCTAGGATTTGGATCTGTTGATCTTAAATCTAAAAAATCATTTAAAGAACCAACATCTAAATCCAAATTCTTTGCTATCTTCTCATCTTTTAATGATTCTTAAACTGTAAATATCTCACCTATTTCGAAAATCATTATATAAAATATTATTTATTATATATATTCATAATTTTATGATTTTTAACTATAAAGAAATTTCATCTAAACTCATCTAATTTGATTAACCTTTATCAAAGAACTTTCTCATTATTATCTCTCTCTCAAAATCATGATTTGAATCAAAATCTTAAAAATTCAATTAATCAATATTTTCTTAATTTTCTTTAGATAATTATTTCTTTTTCTTTTACTATTCATCAAATTGATTTTTCACTTTTTATTTTATTGCTTTTCTTTGAAATTCATCTATTATTTAAACATTTATATTCAATTAAAAATCATATCTTGGTTCAAAAACTTGCATAATTTATTTAGCTCTCTAATATTCATAAAATGCTTCATATATTTATAAATTATTTTCTTTCAATATCAATTTTTCTAACTCTTATTTTAAAAATTATTAGAAATAAAATAGATCCTAATAAATCAATAATTAATAAGGTCTGTATAACTTTTATGGGCATTGTAATAATTTCAATCCCATTTACATTACATTCTGTATTTTATAAATCCAAATAAAATCTTATTCTTCTTCTGGATATTACATTTTTCTACTATTCTAATAAATCTATTAATTTATTGATAATTTTTAGAGAAATGAATAATAAATAATACAAAACATTTTAGGTTTTAAATTATGAGAATCTGTTTAATTTGCAGTTTCAGTATTAATAATTGGATTTTATAATTTTTAATTCATTTCTATTCTTGCCTTTCTTTTATCACCTATTTTTTCATCTTTAGTTTAAGTTTATTGTTATTAAACTTACTATAATTAGAATTATTAAGGTATATAACTATTTGTACTTTATTCTGTAATCATTCTTTCAATTTAAATGAAACTTTCTCTATTTTCAGTCATTAATCTATCTAACCAATAAATTGGAACCTATCTTAATTAATCACAAATATCATCATTAGCTATATTTGAATGAATTACTAATAATAAATTTAATAAATTTTCTGGTTTTGGATCCATTGCTATAATTGCTTCCCGCTATCTTAACAGTGTAAAAATTGCAATTGGTTAATTACTAAGTATTTAATTAAAACTTTTTATTGCTAATTAAAGTTCATTAGTTGTTGTAGGTTTCAAAAGCCTCTATAATGTATATTATACATCATCTTTTGTTTTAAAGAGATTTGTAAATTTTTAGAGTAACGACATTTATTATTAATAAAATAATATTTTGCAATAAATTATTTTTATTAAAAGAAAACCTTATATAATATTTAATGTAAATTGGTAAATTAAATAAAACATAAGTTAATGAAGAAAAACAAAACTCAAGAGTCTATAATTCAATGCAAGTTGGAAGTGCTAATAAAAATTCTACTTAAGATTATTAAGTACATCTAAGAGCAGATTCAGCAATTCTAATACCATTAATAGATGCCTCTATGTAGGCATGGGATGAAAATGTTATTTCAGAAGTCGCAAATAAAGATTCAGGTAACTATGAAACCAATTTTTATCAATTCAAACATTTTCTTGAAGATTAATGTGTTTTCTTAAAAAACAATTATGATCTTGCAATTAAGATTCTTGAGTATTTAGATAATAAAAAACTTTATGTTGGTTACATAAAAAATTAAGAAGCCTAATTAAATATTGATGAAAAAGCCAGAAGCACAACAAATATCCAGAATACAATTAAAACTATCAGAAAGGACATATATCGCTTTAGAAAAGAACTTAAAGAAATAATAGCAATCTGTGCTGAAGCAGAAACACCTTTAATACTCAATGAAGTTGGAAATCTTAAGGAGGAGATCTTGGAGAGATACAATTAATTAATGAATGATATCATACCTGGTATATTGTTCGATGATATCTCAATTGAAATAGTTCAAAACTATTACATCAATTAATCTAATGAATCTTCTGATGAAGTTGTTCATTTTAATTCTGTAAAGTAATATCATCTATCACCTTTAATACCTCGATTTAGAGCGTATGTTTATTAAATTTATGAAATTGCTTAATCAGAATTTAATTTAACTTAGTAATTAAATATTTTATCATAGAAATTTTCTAAACAAGTTATAACAACTTGGAAAAAGTGCAAGCAATTAATAAAATTAATCAATTTAATTGTATTATGATCTACCTTCTTTAATAGATTAATTTAAAGTCAATCTAAATCAATAATGCTCTTTATTGCCTACAACTCTATAAGATGATAAAGATTATTGGAATTATTATTAATAAAATGTATAATTAAAGGAGAAAATAAATAATGATCTAATTAGTATTAAAATAAAGAATGAACAAGAATAATAAGAGAAAAGTGTGCTTTAAATAGAATTTAATCAATTAGTTGAACAATAAGATTATTTTCATAATTTATTCCTTTTTTAAAAACAGATTCCAATTCTAATAGATTAATTAAGAGATATAAATTAATAGAAGGATAAAATATGGAAAGATTTACCTGAAAATAAAGTAATTGAGAAAGCAAAATTATAATAAATGCTTTAAAGTTGCATTAATATTAGTAATAGTATAAATGATAAATTTCCTTATGGGAGAATTCCATTTAAATTTTAATAAGTGTCAATGACAGCTGATAATTTAGCTAAATAGATTCAAGATCTTATGGATTTAAATATTTTATAGGATTAAATATATGTAAATAATCCAAGTTTGACTGAGAGAATAAAAGAATTAATGAAATGGGAATATAATGGTGAATCAATTGACTAAGCTTAAGGTGAAAATGCAGAAATAAATAGTTATTTAGCTAATTTATTTGAATTAAATTCAATTACAAATGTATAAAATATAATACTTTAAAAATTTAGAAGCCACCTTAGATTGAAATAGAATTAAATTAATAACTTGATTAATGTAATCCTGAGAATATAAATGAAATAATGGAGTTGAATGAAAATTATAATATATGGAAGAATATGTAAGCAGCAGGAATGTTTTTGAATGAAGAATATTTATAATAAGCACTTTAAGATTGTGAAAGACTACCTTAATATGCTAAGAAGTTATAATCTCTTAAGACATTCTTTTCAATAAATTAATAAATGTAATATGTTGGATACATAACAGATGTTTTAAGTTTGATTTAATTAGTATAAACAAAATAATTGGATCAAGCTAGATTAGTAATTTAATAATCAAAAAATATTCCAAGAATATATAAATCTAATTTGTTATAAGCACTTAATTGAATGCTGTGGAAATTAATATGAATCTATTGCATAAATAATTATATATTTAAAAAATAGAATAATTAATTAATGTCTTACGGAAATAAGATAATACCAAGTGTTCCTAAATTTACAGAATTTAAGGATTACACATCTAGTTAAGTTTTGTAGATGCACACTCCGCATTTATTATAGAAATAACACAAATAAGATTTAGTATTATCATCTGAGTATTCTATGGAAGTAGAGCCCTCTAAAAAGTATACATTATAATCAGCACATATGTAATTAACAGGTATATAGAATATATATAAAAGGACATTAGAGTGAAGTATATTGTGTAAAATACTCTCCAAATGGTGATTATCTTATAACAGCAGGATTTGATAAGAAAATATTGATTTGGGACATTTATAATAATTGTACAAATATAGGAATATTGGGAAGTCATTAAAATGCAATACTTGATGTTGCATGGTAATATGATGGAGTAAGATTATTTACAGCATCAGCAGATAAGACTATTTAAATATGGGATATGGAAACATATTTACCATTAAAAAAATTAAAAGGACATTAAAGTTATGTTAATTGTTGTTATCCTTAAAAAAGAGGATAAGATTTATTGGCTTCTGGAGGAGATGAAGGTTATACTAAATTATGGGACTTAAGAACAAGGAAATTAGCTTTTGAAATTTAAGGCAAAGTAATTCTCTTATTTTAAATAATTTTCAGTATCCTATTACTAGTGTTTGTTTCACTGAAAATGGAGACAGATTATATACTGGATCTTTAGACAATATAATTAGATGTTATGATGTTAGAAAATAAGAGATGGAATATACATTAGATAATCATACAGATACAGTAACAGGATTAGCAATTAGCAATGATAATTCTTATTTATTGAGTAATTCTATGGATATGACAGTTAGAACTTTTGATATTAGGTAAATTATTATTTATTATATTTATAGACCTTATGTTTAAGGTAAAAATAGATAAGTAAGAGTATTCACTGGAGCAACTGCAAACACTGCTGAAAAGAATTTATTAAGATGTTCATGGAGTCATGATGATTAATATATCTCTGCTGGATCTGCTGATAAAAATGTTTATATATGGGATTTTAATTCAAAAAAAGTTATTCATAAATTAGGAGGTCATTAAGGAACTGTAATTAATATTTTTATTTTTATAGGTTAATGAAACTGCCTTTAGTCCAAAAGATAAATTGATAGCATCAGCTAGTAATGATAAA